TTAATTGCTGTGACCCAAAAAGACTCTGTGGACTCTCACCGTGGCGGTTGGGTGGTCTTACACCTTAACTGTTCTGTTTCACCCCCAGCTGGGTGTACTTATTCAATTCTGATGCTAACCATCTGGAGTTAGCACCTGACTCCAAAGGTGTATGGGCTCAGTCCCTGAGATATGGCGATATAACAAGAAATAAATGTTTGGACTTGTCCTAGTTCCTGGCCTAAGAGCTTCTAAAACCCTTGGAAAATTCCCTGAGCATTAGTGGTGAGAAGAGTTTTTTGTTACTCATTATAAGCTCCTTTCAACCATGCTTGAGTTTATACTAATAAAGGTGACTCTTGGTGGATTCCTAGATAGCTTGAGGGTGAGGGCTGGTTACCAGATGAATCAGCCATATGATTAGAGCGTTGGAAGTTTTAGTCTTACCTTACGCCCACCTCCCAAAGGGAGAGATTGAGTTAACCACAAATGGCCACAATGATTTAATCAACCATGCTTGTGTAATGGAACCTCCATAAAACCCCCTGAACTATGGCTTTAAGAGAGCTTACATGTGTCAGGAGGGTGCTGCACTTCAAGTCCACTGGGACAGACACTCCTGTGCTTGGGACCCATCCAGACCTTGCCCTATATACCTCTTAGTCTGGCTGATCAACTGTACCCTTTATGATAAACTGATAAACGTAAGTAAAGTGTTTCCCTGAGTGCTGTGTGCCAACATAGCAAATTATCAAATACGAGGAGGGAGTTGTGGAAACCTTCAATTTATAGCCGGTTGATCAGAAGCATGGTGACAAACTGGGCTTGTGACTGGCATCTGAAGTGGAGGAAGGGGGAGCAGTGTTGTAGGACTGAGCCTTTAACTTGTGGGATCTGTTGCTAACTCCTCAGGTAGTTAGTGTGAGAACTGAATTAAATTGTAGGATACTCAGCTGAAGACATTTGTTGTCAGATGTTAATTGCTGTGAGTGAAAAACATCTTACTAGTTCTCAACAAGATGGCCCTCATGTCAACTGCTAGCCACATTTTGGGGTCCCCAGACCAACCATACTTCTGACCAACTGGCTACAAATTCAGGGTTTCCCATGACTCCCTTAGGTTTGGTAATTCACTAGAAGGACCCACAGAACTTGGGAAAGCACTAAACTTACAATTACAGCTTTATTATAAAGCACTAAACTTACAATTACAGCTCTATCAGAAAGCATAGAGATCAGGAACAGCCAAATGATGAGACACATAGGATGTAGACTTTAGGGGCAACACAGAGCTTTGGTGCCTTCTCCCTGTGGAGTGAGGGTGAGTCACACTCTGGGCACACAATAGGTTCACCAACCAGGAAGCTCCTGCCAGCCTAAGTGCCCACAGTTTTTACTGAGGTTTCGTCACCAAAGGCACAATAAATGAAATCACTGGTCACGTGACTGAACTCAGTCTCCAGACCTCTCCCCTCCCTGGAGGTGGAAAAGTACAATCCTCTAATCACGTGATTGGTCTTTCTGGTGCCCAGCCCACTATTCTGAAGCTATCTAGGGGCTCAATTTGAGTCACCTTATTAGCATAACATAGACGCTTCTGTTGCTCAGGAAATTCCAAGGTTTTTCTGTGCCAGGAACCAGGTACAAAAATCAGAGACATTATATTCTTTATTATACCACAGCACTATCACACTCATTGTCATTACCATTGTGCCTGTCTCCCTGGTAAGCTTCTGGGAAGGCAGAGAGCTTGACCTTTGTTTGCCACATATGGTGCCCTCTTTAAATTTGCTGAGCAAATCAATGAGGCTGGTGCTGATGTAGTTCTGGACTTCAGGTATTTGTTATGCTGTATTCAAAAACAGCACCTTGTAGCCAAAATGTCTATCCACAGGGAACTAGTTGAATAAATCACGGCACATCATACAATGGAATCACTACTGAAGAAGTACGAAGATGCTCTAGATAGATGTGCTAATAATGAATAGATTTCTAAGGCAGAATGTGTAGTACTACGAAAAAAAAGTCAAGGTGCAGAACAATATAGAATGGTATGTTCTCTTTCACATACAATGAAAAGTGTTTAAATCCTAACTGTACAGCCTAGTGACCATTTACTAATTAATACATCCGTGTTTACCACTTTGCAGATCAAATTATAGAACATTTCCAGGACTTGGAATTCTTTCTCATATTTCCTTGCAGACCATACTCTCCAAATGGGAACCATTATTCTAACTTCTCTCACCTTAGATTAACTTTGCCTGATTTTGAACTTTATATCTTTGGAATCAGAGAATATAGTGTCTATTTAAACTAAGCATTCTATCCTGTTATAAATAAATAATGCTTTGTGACCTGCTTCTCCTGCTTACCACTATGTCATGAATGTCTTGCATTTATAATCTGCAAAAAGATGATGACTTTAAATTGTTGCATTGTAAATAATATGTTCTCTGCTATATTTAACTATCCTTTTTTTTTTTTTTTAATTCATGAGGGAAGAGTTCAGAGAATCCATACAGGTAGCAAGTGGAGAAACTAGAACCCAGGCCTGCGTGTCAGGCACTCACTTTTCCACTGCAAAAAGCAAAGTGCTCAAATATGGGCAGAGTCTTGCAGATGTCTCGCACGAGGGCATTATAATAGCAACAAGAATGACTAATAAGTATTAATGGCTCATGACAAGAGAACAAATGCCATTAATTATCTTAATATATAAGGCATGTTAGTAATGTACATGCAGTAATGTACAGAATTATTCATGCAAATATGATTAGCCTATGTCAGGAGCAGTTGCTGGGCGCAGACCTGGGCTCACAGCTCCGGTCTCTGCCCCTCCTTCCAGATGTGCATGGGTTGGGACTTCCAGGGACACGCCCCCGTGGAGCTCTGAGGAGCCAATCGGAGCGTGGAAGGCGGGGCTCTGAGAGCGACAACGGTGCTATCCAATGGACAGAGAGTCTGGGTCGCCCCTGGCCAATGGGCGTGCTCCTCCAAGACGGTCGGAAGTGGTGAGGCGGCTCCGGGGGCCGTTGTTCAGCGCGGGGGCCGACTGAAGAGGCTCAGTGTCTTGGCTGGCTGGTCGGTTCGGCGTCCTTGCTCTCGTCCCAGGTGAGAGAAGCGGTGGTCAGCGCTTGGGGAGCCTCCTGCGGCCTCCAGTTCTGGAGGAGGCCGGCGTCCCGAGGGCGGGGTGTGTGGGCGAGGGTCTTCTGGGCCCGGGGGTCGCGGGGGTTTCTCGTAAGGAGAAAGATGCCCGCGCCGCGGCGTCTCCCCTGGCCAGTATGGGAGGCCGTACTTTCTTCTCTGGAAACCGTAGCCTCGACAGACCCTGGCGGCACCGCCCCTTCCAGGCCTTGGCCGCGGGGGCTGGGAGGCGGCCGTCGTTCCGAGCGCCGCAGTGGGCACCGCTCCCCGGGCGGGGCTGGGCCCGAGTCCCGAGCTGCCAGCCTCAGGGGTCGCGGATGGCTTCGTGCGGACTTTAGGCCGACGGGCCCGTGTTCGAGTCACACCACTCGGAACAACTGTGCGACGGCTGTCTCCCTGGACTTGCTCTTTCGCGGTCTCTGAAATGGGGATGATGGCTTTCACCTCGTAGGGTTGTGGTCTGGATTGAAAGATTGTCCATGTAAAGCGTTTAGCAATCAGTGAACACACAGTAAATGGCAACTGTTATTTGTGAAGCTGGTGCCCTCTCCACTCCCCATCTCGGACGCCCCCTGGGAGGGGGCAGTTGGAAATCGCCTCCTCCTGGGTGTGGACCCTGCGGTGCTGTCTCCACCCCCTTGGGCACAGGAAGTCCCGGGGTGCTGGCTGACCCCTAAGAGGGGCGCCTTCTCAGGTTTGAAGGAAACTTATTCTACCAAAGCGCTTCCATGCATTCGCTCATTTACTCCTCCCAGTGACTCTTTAAAATATTGTCAGTTGTCTGCGTGAGGAATCTGAGGCTCAGGGAGGTTAAATCACACATCTGCTGAGTGGCAGAACCAGAATTGGCCCTCAGAGGGGCCGACTCCGAGCCCTGCGCGTCACCCCAACTCCCTTGCTGCTAGAAAACCGGGCACTTCCCTCGTCCGAGGCTCTTACCTTGCCTTAGTGGGCTGGAATAACCTAAAGTAAATACAGGTATTAAAGTTGCAAGGGCTTTGCTTTCTGTATTGACATCTTGTTGAGAAAGAAGGAAAAACTTTCAGTGGTGAAACCTGGCAGACGTGATCTCAACTAAATGATAAAAATCAGCATCATCCGTAATAATAAGACTGTTAACATCATGTGCTTTCTGATATAATGCACTGAGATGAGCACAACATCACTTCTATGGTATTTCTGTCCAAAATGTATTAATCATGAGAAAACATCAAATGAACCCAAACTGAAGTATATTCCACAGAATAACTAGCCAGCTCATTTAACAAGGTTATGCAAGATGAAAGACTGAAGGAATTCCGTGGTGGTCCAATGGTTAGGGCTCCGTGCTTCCACTACAGGGGGCACAGGTTCGATCCCTGGTCAGGGAACTAAGATCCTGCATGCCTCGAGACCAAAAAACGAAAAAAAAAAAAGAAAGAAAGACTGAAGAAATCTCCCAGATCAAAGAAGATTAAGGAGAAATAACAGCTAAATGCAATATGTGACTCTGGATTGCATCCTGAACCAGAGAAAGGGCATTAATGGCATGATTTCTGAAATTAACTAATTGTAGATTATTTATTAGTATTGTATTAGTGTTAGTTTCCTGCACTTGGTCATTTTACTATGGTTATTTATGATGTACTGGGTGAGAGGTATGTGGGAAGTCTTTGTGCTGTTTTTGCAAGTCAAATTATCTTAAAATGAAAATTAAAAAATCAAAAGGTAAAACCCTAGTGTGTTGGGATTAAATGAAATGCACTGGTTTTGGTGACATTTTCTGTGCACTGTTTTTTTTTGTTTTGTTTTTGTGTTTTGCATGTCATTCTTAAAGCAGAAATGAAATTGAAAGATCATACTTCTTCCTTTGTTGTTTTCAGGAACAGCTAAAGATGGCTGAATTTCTGGATGGCCAGGACACTCGACTGTGTGACAACTGGTAAGGAATCTAAGAAATGTTCTTGGAATGAGGACAGTTCTTTAAAGAGTTGGTTTATTTATTGGCAGGTTAAAATTGGAGCCATATAATACGTTGTGCAAACATGTGGGACTAAAGCTTTTTTAACAATTTTGGATAAAATTGCCTGTTCTAGAAATTCAACAACATGGTTGGTTTAGGTAGCATAGAGTAGTGCCTAGACTGATGGGATGAAGCTGGGATTCAGCGCTCTGGTTTCTACCATTAATTAGTTAATGACTTTTGGCAAGTCAGTTGACTGCTTTGAAACCTCACTTTTCTGACCTATAGGTAAGGGAATTTATTTTTTGTCTTCCTGGAAAAATATTGTACTTTTAAACTTTTTGCTTTTTTTTTTTTTTTTAATTAATTTATTTGGCTACACTGGGTCTTAGTTGTGGCATGCAGGGTCTTTAGTTGCGGCACGTGGGATCCAGTTCCCTGACCAGGGATTGAACTCAGGCCTGCCCCCCCTGCATTGGGAGTGCGGAGTCTTAGACACTGGATCACCAGGAAAGTTCCTGCTTTTTAAAAGATGCTAAAAATATAATGAAATGTTCGGACTAGAGCAGTGTTTTTTTTTGTCTTTTTTTTTTGTGGTACGTGGGCCTCTCACTGTTGTGGCCTCTCCCGTTGTGGAGCACAGGCTCTGGATGCACAGGCTCAGTGGCCATGGCTCACGGGCCCAGCCGCTCCACGGCATGTGGGATCTTCCCGGACCGGGGCACAAACCCGTGTCCCCTGCATCGGCAGGCGGACTCTCAACCACTGCGCCACCAGGGAAGCCCTAGAGCAGTGTTTTTTAAAGTACGTTGCGAGGATTTCCCTGAATGGCTACAGTGGCTGTCTTGAGGTGGATTGGGAGCAAGGTTTAGTGTGAACTTGACTCTACATGTACAACCAGAGCAGCTCAACTGTTTTTTGGTTTTTTTTAATATATATATAAATTTATTTATTTATTCTTGGCTGTGTTGGGTCTTCGTTGCTGCGCACTGGCTTTCTCTAGTTGTGGTGAGTGGGTGCTACTCTTTGTTGCGGTGCGTGGGCTTCTCATTGCAGTGGCTTCTCTTGTTGCGGAGCACGGACTCTAGGTGCCGCAGGCTTCAGTAGTTGTGGCACGTGGGCTTAGTAGTTGTGTCTCACGGGCTCCAGAGCGCAGGCTCAGTAATTGTGGTGCATGGGCTTAGTTGCTCCGTGACATATGAGATCTTCCTGGACCAGGGCTCGAACCCGTGTCCCTTGGATTGGCGGGCGGATTCTTAACCACTGTGCCACCAGGGAAGCCCCAGCTCAACTGTTTTTATAAAGGATTTTGCTGAAGGAATGTTCCACTGCTTTAAAAAAAAAAAGAAAGTGTAGTCAAAGTCTTCCAGCAGTTCAGTTTAATCATTATCATTTCATGATTCCAAAACTGTTAGTGGAAAGATTGGATGCAGACTTGAATGTCAAACTTTCTTATTTTGTTGTTTTTAACCGACAAGAGTGACAAGAAAGAGCAACTCTTTCTTGCTGAAACGAAACTTATGAGTTCAGCTGGTAATCAGCCGATTCCTGGTTGGGATTTCTCAAGAACCTGGTATTTCAATGATATACAAGTTCCCTTACTGAAAGCAAAAGAAAAAAGCAAAGCAGAACTATCTGTGCTATGTTTAACTTACCAAACTGTGTTAGAAGGTGAGAGATGTTTTTTTTTTTTTAAAGTCAGTCACAGACCTCATTTTTTAAAATAAATTTATTTTTTAATTAATTAATTAATTTATTTTGGTTGCGTTGGTTCTTTGTTGCTGCAGCGGGCTTTCTCTAGTTGCGGCGAGCAGGGGCTACTCTTTGTTGCAGTGAGCCGTCTTCTCATTGCGGTGGCTTCTCTTGTTGCGGAGCACGGGCTCTAGGCACACGGGCTTCAGTAGTTGCAACACACAGGCTCAGTAGTTGTGGCACATGGACTTAGTTGTCCTGCTGCATGTGGAATCTTCCTGGACCAGGGCTCGAACCCATGTCCCCTGCATTGGCGGGCAGATTCTTAACCACTGCGCCACCAGGGAAGTCCAGAGATTTTTTTTTTCTGTTTTGAATGGTTATTAATTATTGGTTCAATTTCATTAATAGTTATAGGCCTGTTCAGATTATCTATTTCTTTTTTTAATTAAAAGTTTATTTTATTTTTTGCAATTTTTAAAGTTACTTTCCATTTACAGTTAATACAAAATATTGCCTATATTCCCTGTGCTGTAAAATACATCCTTGAGCCCATCTTACAATACTTTGTACCTCCTGCTCCCTGTCCCCTATATTGTTCCTCCCCACGCCCCACTCATAACCACTAGTTTCCTCAGTGTGTCTGTGAGTCTGCTGCTTTTTTGTTATATACACTAGTTGGTCATATTTTGTTAGATTCCACATATAAATGATATCATACATTTGCAACTATTTTCTCCCATTCAGTAGGTTGTCTTTTTTTTAATCATTTCTTTATTTTTTTTCCCATGTTCAATATTAGTTATCTATTTTATACATATTGGTGTATACATGTCAATCCCAATATCCCAATTCATACCCCCCACCCCCACCCCCACTTTCCCCTCTTGGTGTCCATGCATTTGTTCTCAGAGATGTTGATAAGGAAAATAGTTTGACCCAGATTGTTGAAAGGTTGAGCCAGATAAAAATTTTTCTTTTTTTTACTGCCTTTTTCTTTCTGCTCAGCTTCTTGGCAGCATTAGGATATAATCAGAACAACTGCTGGTCACAATATTCTTTCCCTGCATGGAATTAAGATTTTATTTCTGTGAGGGTGTCTTACCTTATAGGGTATTTTTTTCTCCTGTGCTACTATCACTTTTGCCATTTTAAAACTATTGTAGCTCTGTTTAAGTTTTATGTGTACTGTTCCTGATGCAAAGTGTAATAATCAATGATACAAATATTCACAAGGAAACAATGTGATTTTATAAGAAAACAGACAAATTGGCTTTAACATCAGTTAAGATATTCTTATTTTATTGGTCCACTCCAATTTGAAGGAATCTCAGACCTAGGACAGTATATAAATAACTATGCTAAGGGAGTTTAAAAAAAAAAGCGGGGGGGGGGGGGGTAAGTTAATGGAAAGCTAAAGAAAACAAGGTTATTTAAAGCCAAAG